TCTGATTTTTCTCCAAGCTCAGAAATCAAGCCATACATCGCTGATAATTTCTACACGTTGCAGAAAACAGACAACTGTTACAGTCAAATAAATTAAACACAATTTTGCATTGGATAGATCCGCTACACCAGACTTGTTTAGAGTATTAAAAAGCAAGGATGCCTCTTTGAAGACTGAAGTGTGCTTGACCCAAGCTCAGGTATTTCCAATCACATCATTCACGCGGCAAGGTTAGGCAGAGAGTCAGGAAGACCACAGACGAATACCGAAAATACCGTGGAGTGCCAGAAGAGCAAATAAACCTGTCTTCAAAGAAGGACAGCTGGAATGCTCATTAGGAGTGAGGCTGGAGAGACTTGGTCTTTGCATGCTTTGGACAGTTACCCAGAACCTGGAAAAGGACATCATGTTTGTTAAAGAAGAGAGGCTGCAAAAAGGAGGAAGACCCTCCATGAGACGTCTTGACCCAGAGGCAGCAGCTGTGGGCTCAAACATAGCATTGTGAGGCTCACACCGGGTCTGGGCAGTGTTTTGTTCTGTTGTGAGTCAGAGCTCACTTGTGGCACCTAACAACAGCAACCCTAGCATTACAGCAGAGGAGTTCCCCAATTTGGAGTTACAGCAAGAGTCCAAATACTGTAAGTGTATCCTGGGATATACGCTATTTCAAAGTCATCAATATCAAATTATCCTATTCCAGTTTTAGAGGAGTCAGTTTCTGGATCCATTTTTTTCTCCCTAAAATAAATTTGTCTGGTAATACTTTTATTGTCACAGTAGCACTTGTGTTCCCCACTTTACAAGAAAGGAATACCATCTCTTAACATAAGGCATGGCTCCAGGGTGCCAAGTACAATAGTTAAGCAGGCTCTTTAATCCCAATGGGCTTTCCAGTCTTTCTGTTCCTGATGTACTCTCATGGGGAGGGTGAAGCCTGCCTTTAGGAGGTCTCTTACAGGTCCTGCATTCAGCTATCCGGTACAGGTGGGAGTAGCTGTGATGGCTTGCCTTGCAGAGTTGTGCCTTTTTTATCTCCTGTTTGCAAAGTAAACTCATAGCCTAAAAGGGAGACTCCTGCCATGCAGAGAGGCTTGCTGAGAAATGATGACTGTGGTGAGAATGTGTCATGTGTTAGAATAAACAATGCATAAGTCAGTGATTCTTCTCAATATGGCATTGAGAAGGTAAACAACTTGCCAAAGGTCATACCACCAGGTAGCAACTGACTCAGCATTTGAATTCTGGTGGTCTAAATCCACAGTTAGGGATCTTAACCCCTATGATATGACCTATTTTAAATCATATCTTCAAAGATTTATTCAAATTAAAGTCAATCCTAATTTATTTTTTATAATGTTTATTTTAACATTTTATCTCCTGTTTAATACAATATACGCCTACTGCTCACTTTCCAACTGCCCTGTCATTGGACATTTTGCATTTATGACAATAGTAAAAATTTACTATCAGACTATTTTATACATTAATGACATCCATCTGGCAGTAATGGACATTGAAGTGGGAGCCGAGAGTAATGCTGACTGTGATGTTTAAAGTTGTGTGCCCACTTGGCTGGACCATGTTTGTGTGGGGACTTTGAAAATGCTGTCAAGCAGCGTGGCCAGGCCTTTCCCTCCTGATCACAGGGAAACAGGGCCTGTCCAGGTACCTGGGAGGAGGACTTGGGAAAATTCCCAGACTGTCTGGGCTCCACATGGGGCTGAGGATGGGACCAGTGCACCCTCCTGGGGCACCTCTAAGGATACACCAGAGGCCCTGTGATATACCTCAGAGATGATCAGGCCTCAAAAGGGACAGAGACCAACCACCCTCCACCCTTTTCCCCTGCGTTAGTTCAGTCTGGCCCAGGGTGACAGCGTGATGACACAAGGTCATCAATGGGCAGGGGGAGTCAAGGCGAGGGCCCTAAGGTGCCGGGGAGGTCAGTGGAGCCAAAGGGGAGCAGAAAGAGGACCACGGGAGTAGGAGGAGCAGACAAGGTCCCTGCCTAGGACAGGAAGCAGTAGGTGGCAAGCAACTGTCAACCATCACCACCACTAACTCCCACGAGTACCGCAGTGCTGGGGGGAAGGGAGACCACCTCACCGCATGCATTTCGAAATGTGTCAGAGGCACCCAGCCCATGCTGAGTGACTTGGGCTTGGGGGACACCAAAGACAACAGGGGTTCCCAACTTTCACATTACACTAATTTTTACATCATGACTGGGTCTATGGAACCAAATCATGCCACTGAGGGGTGGGTGCATATACACTAACTACTGGACTAGTTTTTAAGCAGCATTCATCTTCATATGTTAAATACAGAGTACGAGTTGATATTTCTAATGAAATGAAATTATTCCTTTGAGGTTTTTTTCTTTTAATCATTTTATTAGGGGCTCATACAACTCTTATCACAATCCATACACACATCAATTGTGTAAAGCGCATTTGTACATTCATTGCCCTCATCATTCTCAAAACATTTCCTCTCCACTCAAGCCCCTGGCACCAGGTCCTCATTTTTCCCCTCCCTCCCCGCTCCTCCCCTCCCCCATGTGCCCTTGATAATTTATAAATTGTTATTTTGTCATTCCTTTTGAGTTTTTATACCTGATTTCTTCTTTGGGTACTGCTCATGCTAAACAGAAGGACTGTATCTCACTTCATAACATAGTTTAACATTCAAGTACAGCTTTAAAAGTATTATTACAAATTGAGGATTGCGTAACAGCATACTGATTCATTAACATCTATTTATAACTTAAAATGAGTACATTAATTATATTAGATCTCATTCATTTGTCTTTAACAATGAAGTAAACCTTGTGGCCAAAAAAAAAAACAACCAATCTGATTTTATTGGTGTGACTGTGTAGACTGGCTTTGCCAGGTAAAATATGATAGATAACATCAATAGAGCTAAATCTACACTGCAATTGTCAAAGTTAATAATGGATATATCATTAAAAACAGAATTTGATCATTAAATACTGTTTTTTAAGCATATACGTGGGAGCTTCAAAACAGTTGGTGGGAAAATCCCACTATCTTTTTTTTTTTAAGCCCACTATCTTTTAAATTCCATTTTCCCCTGAACTTTTTAAAGCCACCACATACCTTATAAGGAGCTCAAAGCATCAAAGGAGAATGGCTTTTTTTTTTTTTTTTGAGAATGGCTTTAACAGTTCCTGTGACTAATTTCTATCTCAGCACATTTTTTTTCCTCCAGCACAAGCCCCAAAATAGAAAATAGATCTACAATTAACTCTGAACCTTAGCTCATTTTAGCAGTGAGTTATATTTATCCATGGATACATGAAAGAATGTTTGGGGGGAAAGGGCAGTCCTGCTTAGGGCAAGATTTTCTTCTTAAGTAGAAAATAACAACAAAAAATTTACAATATATGTGTTTTTTATTATGTGTTCAATCATGATCATTGTAATAGCTTAATTCACAAGAAAAACTGTATGATTTCAAAACAGAAAATATGACGTTTTATGTCATATACATTTTAGTTTCAGAGATGTATGATTAGGTAATCTATCCATTAAAGGCTTAAATATAAAAAAATATTTATACTAGGATGAAACCCGGTGGGAAAAGGAAATTATAAATAGCTCTGTGAGCTATTTCACAATGAAATAAATGCTGTTTCCAACTTTAAAGAATACCAGGGTCATTATAAAGAATAACTTGCTCACTATCGAATCATATTTTGATTCCATCATATAGATAGGTTCCCAAACGTAATTGACTTGCCACTGCCTTGTCAGAGAAAAGCTCCCGCAGCGTCCCCTTGGCAATAAAAGCTTGAGTACAACAGCCTATCCCACAGGATGAGGTGGAGGTATCTCTCTGCCTTAGCAGCCCCCTCGCATCGTTCCATTGCTCCCCAAGGGACAGTGCCACTCACTTTGGGAAACACTGGTTTACTCTGAAAAGAGGGATTTATTGGTTTCATTTTAAATGTTAATATTAAACTCTGTGTATTTAGAAATATACCTTGCCCAAACAATGTGTGTGTCTGTGTGTATACCTTGGTTGTGTCTTTGTGTCTGTGTGTATCCCTTGTATATATATTTAAACTTAAAATACAAAATTTGGATATCAACCTAAATATTGTGGGAGGACATTTGCTGGCAACCAAATTAAGAGGGGCAAAAATGGGGTTTCACAATTGACTCTCTCTTTGACCATAGGAAATTTGCTTCTTCTCTCTAGGCATATGTCCTCACCCACCCATCGGAGGGTTGGAGGAGGATCACGAGACAATCTCTATGAGACCACTTTGTAAAATAGCACCTGTTACATCCGTAGCATGTGTTATTGAGCGTTTGAATCACTTCTTTGTCCTCTGCGTGGGTTGCAGTCCCACACTATTTCAAAGCTATTGATAGCTTTCCCCACACAGGCCACTCCGAATCTCTGCCTCCTAGTGACTCATCATTGGCCCCCACTCCTGGTGTACCACTGCTCTCCCTCACCTCTACAGAGGGACATGTACGACGGGCCTGCTTAGTGTTATTAACTACACCTTTCACCGACAGTGCCAGGCAGACGATAGACGCTGGAACATGTGCCACCTTGCAAGTGTTTCAGGGTGCTGATGTGCATGTACTCCCTACAATGGCATGGGGATTTGTGCGGGTGCATATTTTGGGGTGGACAGTAGCCCAATGCTTGTTTCATATTCTTAAAGACAGTATATATATGAACAAAAAATGATCAAGCATAGTTGGAAGTAAAGTCACTGTATTCTAGAGCAAGAATATTAATCTTTGTCTCAACTTGTTCAACATCTGTCTCTGACAACATGTAGATATACAGAAAGTTATAAAAATAGACCTGCATTTTAAACTCCCAGCGGAATTATGAATTCTTTACACACACCACCACCACCCAAAAAAAACCCAACCATCTTTCCTATAGGTCTTCCGAGCATGATCATATTTATCCTGTGCTTATTTCTTATCTGATTACCCTTTTTATTTCAGTTTGAAGGAAGGAAGTACTGTGAACATGACTTTCAGATGCTCTTTGCTCCTTGCTGTCATCAGTGTGGTAAGTGTGACTACTGATTGCCATGCAGTCCATTTCAAAGTACATAACTTCACAGTTTAGACGTGTCAGTAGTAAAAATGGTTATGAGCTGGGCTGCTAACTAACTGCAAGGTCAGCAGTTCAAAACCACTAGCTGCTCCAAGAGAGAAAGACTTTCTACTCTCGTAAATAGTTAGTCTTAAAAACTCACTGGGGGAGTTTTACCCTGTCCTATACGCTCACTATGAGTCAGTATCAACTTGATGTCCATGGATTTCAGGGGTGCGTGCGTGTGTGTGTGTGTGTGTGTGTTTAGGAACCCTGGTGGCATAATGGGTTAAGCGTCAGGCTGCTAACCGTGAGGTGGGTGGTTCAAACCCACCAGCTGCTTTAGAGGAAAAAGAGGAGACTTTCTGCTCCAGTAAAGTTTCTGACAATCTCAGGAACCCTCAGGAGCAGCTCCACTCCGTCCCATAGGGTTGCTGTGAATCCACTCCACAGCAGTGTCTTTGGTTTTTCGAGTTTTATTAAATACAGTGTCAGTTCCTTCCCCTGTTGCTGATGTCCAAGTAACTGTAAGAGGGTCAATACCTGGGAAAAAGAAATTCTTAAGAACTTCTAGTATGAAAAGTATTTAGGAACTGCCAGGGAGATTTTAGAATGACATTAGTTGATCTTTGGAAATGTTCTTTTCCCCTGTTCGTGGAACCTTTACCTATTTGCTTTCGGGTTTGTAATGGAAAGAGATAGGAGAACAATTCGTGGGATGCTTCAGGTGTTTGATGGTCACGGTGTGTTTGTTACTTGCTCTTGCTGCTGGCCTTTAGCCCATCACTGGTTGCTAACAGCTCTCCTAGAAGGTTCCCAGGGACTGCAGAAACGAAGCATGGGGCATGAGGAAACGTGCTTGTGGATTTCAGTAGTCTCGACAAGGAAAAACCAAAAGGCATTCAGAAAAGCTTAGTAGTACATAGGTTTAAAAAGAAAAACTGTATTTAGAATTGGTTTAAAAACAAAAATTGTATTTAGAATTTTTTTCTAATACCACTCACAGATAGAGTTACAGGGGGGATTTTTAAACCACAGCAGCAGCAGCAGCAGCACACAAAGGTGTGGATGATTTTTAAAAACATATTGCATATCTGATAGATCCTGCTTACTCTAATAGGTACATATATAAAATGCCCTTGTTTGTAGAAAAAGGTGTAAATGTTGTTCCCCTGGTGGTTTTTTTGCCTCACACTGAACACTTTTTTATATGCTTTTTTCCCCAGGTGAATTCATCATTGGCCGAGTTATTAAAGCCATGAATAACAGCTGGCATCCCGAATGTTTCCGCTGTGACATCTGTGAGGAGATTTTGGCAGATATTGGGTTTGTCAAGAATGCAGGGAGGTAGGAGTTATTTTAATCTTATCAAATGTGGGTGGATAAAGTGACTAGGCAAGGTCATGCCTGTTTCTCTCTGGCACTGGAAGGCAGGCCTCTTAAGAAACTGAATTTAAGGTTCGGAAACTCATAGATAGCAATATATTGGCTTATCTGTTTAATGCTTACCTGCCCTTGCCGGTGCTCTCTGACAAGGCTTGGACTCCTAAATATGCGGTCATTTGTCCAAACTACCACTGCTCTGCTGGAGTAAGATAAGGCAGCTGGTCCGGGAAAGATTTGCAAAGCCCTGCCTGGGAGCTCTCTCCTGGCTGCTGAGTCAGAATCAACTTGATGGCAGTGGGTTCTTGTTTGTTTGGATAATGCTCACTAGGAAAGGGCCTAGAATTTTGTGTGATAGAGCACTAGTACTATGCATTCCTTAGCTGCCATGTCAGTTGTAGAAATAAAGATGGAATTGCTTAAAAATCAGATTGTCCAGACCAGAATCCGTGCATATAACTTTGTTTTTGCAAATATTTATAACATTTTAAGGTCTAACTCAGATGGACATTTACATAGTGTTTCTTGTAAAAAGCAGTAACTTGATTTTGCTCTTCGTAAGCTTAGCAGGCACTTTGTATAACACAAGTTCTTTCCTTAATAGCAATACAGAAAGATGCATCTTTTTAGTCATGAGAAAGAAAAAGCCGTAGATTTTAGATGTACGTTTCTAAGCCGGCTTTTGCTCTGTTTAGACATCTGTGCCGTCCATGTCATAACCGTGAGAAAGCCAGAGGCCTTGGGAAGTACATTTGCCAGAAATGCCATGCCATCATCGACGAGCAGCCGCTGATATTTAAGAATGACCCATACCACCCCGATCATTTCAACTGTGCCAACTGCGGGTATGTTTGTGTACATTTCTACATTGCACAGAGCACAGCATGGTACTCTAGCACAGCAAACTAATCTGCACTTTTGTGTCGTATTTTGCCGCAGTTGTGTGTGTGCACTGTTTTTCTCTCCTCGGTGTGTGCATGTTCTTTTTTTTTTTTTTGGTGTGTGCATGTTCATAAACGCAATACCTTTAAGTGTTTGGCTGGTTGGTTGTTGTTTTTTTCTTCAATGAAACAGTTTGAAAACAAGGTGTGGACACCATGACTAGCCCTTGCTGTGCATCTCCAAAGTAAAAGAACATTCTCCTCTAGAATCACGATATAACCTTTCTTCAAAATTTATTCTTGATTCTGTAACATCATCAAACATCTATCTAGTCCATTTTAAAATTTCCTCAGTTATCTTTTATAACGTGTTGTTCCAATAGGATTTAAAATATTTTAAAAATGATTCTTTTT